ACAAAGCTACTTGGTCTAAGCCTAAAACCGAAATGTTATGAATTACTATTAAACAAATATTTCATTCAGTGTGTTTGAGGGTAATAATGTAATTTATTTTTGTACTTTTATATCTTTTATTACTATCAATAATAAAACTTATATATTCTTCTAAGTTTTATTTTTATAAATGCAATTTTTGGCTATTTTATTTAATTGTCTTTAAATAAAATTTAAATTTTTTCTACTCAGTGGTGCATTCTTCTTTTAAACGGTATTTTGACGTGCATATGGAAAACATTTTCGATTTAAATTTAGAAAGTCATACACTAAAGCTGAATAAAAATTGCATATTAAATTAATTAACGTATCTACTTCAATTATTTATTGATCTAATATCAGTTCCTTATTAAGGCAGTACAACATCTCTCAAAGAGCGTGGTTCTTGCTTGTTGCAATTCGCTTTCATCTTACCGTTTGATTTGCTTAGTTATACCGCAAGAGTAAATAGTTCACATAGTAATTCGTAATTTTCCGGGCAAATATATAAGGTGGATATTATATTAATAAAAATACTATGGAATTAAATGAAATCATAATGTTTTAATAACCCAAAGACTATGATTCGATTATATATTTGATTTAGAAGAAGCGGAATGATTTTATTTAATCACGCTTTTCTTACAAATGAGTTTTAGGCCTATGGCGGAATGAGTGAGAAGCTGGAACGTAAGTTGTAGCTGTTATTAACGTATTTCGCTATTTATATTTTTGAATTGTTTAAAAGTATCGCTACTATGAAAAGACAACAAGATCGTGATTCTCCTATAAAAAGTAAGCGTTCTCGTTCTTCTCTGCCTCGTTACGATGATAGTCCTCGTGATCGTGGATCTTCAGATCGACGAGACAGGCGTAGGGTAAACAAATCGCCTGGTGATCAACGGCGTGGTAGGACTACTACAAGAGACTCGTCCTTAGAAAGAGGTATGCAAATGGGTAGGAGTGGTGGTTCAATGTCATTATCCCGTGATATTTACGATGATTATTCGCGAGACATGAAACCAGAAAGAGGTGACCCTTACAGTTATAAAATATTGTGTGTGAGCAGTATACACCATAAAGTTTCTGATGCAGCTGTACGTGATGCAGTGTACCGGGAATTCAGTCGCTTTGGTGATATTAGTGTAAAAGTTTGTCATGATGGTAATGCACGGTTTGCTTATATATATTTTAGAACATATGAAGATGCTCGTGAAGCTAGACATGCAAAGTCACGTCTTATACTTTTTGACAAACCTGTTCACGTAGACCCAATTTTAGACAGAGACCTGGTAGGTAGAAGGAACAGAAGCATGAGCCCTGATTATGGGTCGCATGGACCAATGAGAAGCGTCTCCCCAGCACACTCAACAGGTAGTGCAGGGGGAATGGGTAGGCGATCAGGTGGTGGAAGGCGTAATAACTTTGAAAGAAATCCTGGACCACCTGTTTTTGGGCCTCCACCTCCATATAGAGAACCACCAATGAGACATGATATGCAACATGAATTTCAACCTCCACCTCATAGAAGAGACGAAATAAAAAAAGAAAAATTTCCAAACTATCTGCATCATGTGCCACCAGAAGAAGATGACAAAGCAACTCGAACACTGTTTGTCGGAAATTTAGAAGTAGCGATTCCAGAAACAGAGTTGCGTCGTATATTTGAAAGGTATGGTGTAGTGGAAGATATTGATGTTAAAAGACCTTTACCTGGTCAAGGAAATGCCTATGCTTTTATTAAGTTTTTGAACTTGGATATGGCTCATAGAGCAAAGGTGGAAATGTCAGGTCAATACATTGGTAAATTTCAGTGCAAAATTGGCTATGGAAAAGCAACTCCTACAACACGCATATGGGTTGGTGGTCTTGGCCCTTGGACATCTTTATCTCACTTAGAAAGAGAATTTGACAGATTTGGTGCCATCAGGAAAATTGACTTTGTCAAGGGTGATAATCATGCTTATATTCAGTATGATAGTATTGATGCTGCACAAGCTGCCTGTCAAGAGATGCGAGGGTTTCCTTTAGGTGGTTTGGACAAGCGGCTGAGAGTAGATTTTGCAGATCCAGGACCGTACAGTTATTTTGATCCTACAAGACCAGATTTTAGAGGTAACACAGAAGAACAATTTGAATTATCGGGACATGGGGTACATGACCTTCCACCACCTGAGGAATTCTTTGGAGGTCCTGAATGGTTACAGAGCCAAGGCTTTCCTCCGGAATCGCCATATGATCCTGATTTTGATCGACCGCCAAGAAACTTGGGACGAGAACCATGGCCACCAGAAATGGATGATCGCCGTGGAGATTATCGGGGATGGAGTAGAGAGAGACACGGTTGGTGGGATCAACATGGTAGGGGAAATCGTGAGAGTGGGAATGATCGGCGTAAACGACCTTTTACTTCTGAAGAAGCAAGCTTACCAGATGGAGCTCCACCACCAACTGGACCTGATAGTGTACCTTTCAAAAATCCACGAATATCACACACTCCAGAACCTGGTGAATGTGAGAGAACTCCAATCAACAAAGATACGTTGTCTCCTCGACGATCAAAAAGTGATACCGGCCGAATATCAAAAGATTGTGATCCCTCCAATGGTGATTTTAGTGACTCGAGAGAACGAAAAGAGCGGGAGCCAGGTGAAGTTAATAATACATGTGAAATGGGAAGGACCAGAGGGAATGATGACAAAGATTCAAGTGAAAGTGGAAAAAAATTGCTTTCTGATAGTCTTGTGAAGGAAGGCATTGTGGCAATTGCTAATAGTGTTACAAATATTCAGGATTTGGCAAAATGTTGCCCTGTAGCATGGCATGGTGGACTTGTTTTGAAGAATAGTGCTTTTCCATCCCGTATGCATGTTTGTAGTGGAGATCCATCCCTGGTTGATTCTCTTATGAAAGTCAGCTCTGTTGATGTACCTGTTCTTAGGATTAACCAGAGACTCAGGCTTGACCAACCAAAACTTGAAGATGTAACTCGCAGGATCTCAAATGCCGGTAATCATGGGCATTGTATGCTTCTTGCAATGCCAGGTTCAGTCAGTCATACAGATGATCAATCTGGTGCTGTTCAACAGCGCCCTCTAAGAAATTTAGTGTCTTATTTGAAACAGAAAGAAGCGGCCGGTGTTGTTGCTTTACAAGCAGCCAGTAACAAAAAAGATGGCAAAGATTTGAATGGAGTTTTGTATGCTTTCCCTCCTTGTGAATTCACTTTAGAATTGTTAAGACGTATTGTCCCAAATTTGACAGGTGAATCTTCAAAAGAAGATCACCTTGTAGTGGTGGTGGTGAAAGGTGCAACTTGAGTGTCAGTGTTTAATGCGTGTTGTGTAGTTCTCACAGACCACAACAAATTTGATGTGTATTTACTCATAGTAGTCGTGTAGTTTTGTGTGTTATTGTCTTGACAGTTTCGGTGAAAAGACCCCAATTTATGTTTTTACCCAGTACATATATATTGTGCTTGGCAAAATGTAATTTGTAGAAATTTCATGCAGATACTTCAGAATTTTGTTTTTTACAGCATACTTCAGTTTTAATCAGTTGTCAGATTTTCTTATCAAGTTTCATTTGTGTACTGCTCATAAGATGGAGAACAGTGCTTAAAATATGGTTGAGTAAGCAACATGTATTTACATTGTTATTAATGTATAATGTGGCAATTCTTTTAATAGATTGAATAATCATGTCATTTAACCTGTAATATCTCATCCAGTTTTGATTTCAGTGACCTTGCTGACCCAGCCAAAAAAAAAGAAGAAAAGACTTCTAATCTAACTTTACTTTGAAATTTTTTGGTAATTGATAAAAACTTTCATACTGACGATTTTTATATGAAAAGCAAAACGAAAACATTTTCCTTCATGCACACCATATAGTTCGAAAGATTTCATCTGTTGCTACAGTTATTTTTACCAATCACTACTGTCAAACAAAATCACTTTCTTCTAATAGCACACTACAGCTCTTGCAATATTAGACATTTCAATTTGTAACAAAAAAAAATACACACTTAGATACCATAAAACTTTCCATGTATAGAATAATAGAATATTTGCTCATGTTCTTTTAGAGATCTAACTTGTTGGTTGTTGCCCTTAAATATACAAAGAAGATATATATATAGATGACATCAACAGTTTTTAATCATGTGATCATTTAGTTAATGGGGAATTAGTGTAACATGTTGTTGTAATACAACTTTGGATGCTTCGAATAATAACCTTCCGGTATTTTTAAGTCTGTGAAATAAATGTGGGAAATGGATGTTTTAAAGGATTTTTTCCTACTTAAATTGTTATTTTCAGTAGAATTTTATTAAACATTTTTAAAATTACAGTTTAATGGCAAGCATTTTAGTACACACGTTTTTTGGCTACAAGATTTTGTTTGAAGTGGCATAATCAGGAGATTTATAAATATTAAAATAAAATAAAAAGGTTTTAAGGTGTATGAATTTTTACATGATGTATAAAAGTTCAAATGTTGCTTAACTGTTATTTCTTTTTTTTTACAAGCAGCAGAGCTCCACAACCATGTGATGCTTTAGTTTGAAAATGGTGACCAGTGAAAGTGAGGCTTGGTCTATATTAAGCAATGTACCATTATTTTAGTAAAATAGTGTCGTGTATGTGGAGATACGACAGTCACTGTGTACTGTTTAAATTGGATACAGTCACACCTTATTATCTGACAGTCACTTAAGATAGCAATTTTTTCTCTTCTACACGATTATTTTCTATTCCAAGTTCTCATGTTAAGTGAAAGTGACAGATTCTGCAGTGGTGCTAAATATCTGTGTTATATGTGCTGATTGATTAAAGTGTTGAGTGTGACAACAACCAAAATGCTCAGTTGTCTCTCGTTGTGTGTTTTAATTAAAATAAACAGTTAGGAACGTCTTTATTCTTGTTTAAGGTGTAACAATATCTAATCTTTGCTCTTGAGAACAACTGGGATTATACAAGTTTTAATCAGGAGTTTTACCTATGTTGTGCTTGCTTCAGACCACCGCAAAAGAAAACTTTCCAGTAGATGGCCCGGAGTTATCATCTGTCTTGTCACTGCCAACTCTCATCATCAGAGAAACCTAGACCTTATCTTCTCAAAACCTTGCTCTGACTTTTCTGAGCAGCAACCTACAAAAAGTATCTGAAAATTGTTTTCCATTGCTTAATTATAATCAGTGGACTTCCAGATTTTTTCAGATGTGTTCTTCAAGATTATCTCCAAATTTATGTTATTTTCTCTGATCTTGAAAGTCAACTTCTATTCTGTCTTGAGGAATGAGAATCTGAAGACTACCATGAGTGAAATTAACAATGATATTCTAAGTTCTGTTCTGAACACATAACTAGTTTTCAAAGTTTTTTAAAAATCTATGCAGTCTGTATCATTAGCTCAGGAATTGGACACTTTTATGACTTAGAAACGAAACAGTCATTGAATCTGTGTTAAAGTTGAATCTCCATGATTGAATGTTCTATTATTTTGCATGCAAAAGTGAATCAGCATTTTTTTTTATTGTTTCATCATCTGAAAAAGAAATCAGTGTGAGGTTTGAAGTGTGAACGGTCTAAATATTTCATTTATTTTACGTGTACTTGTGAAAGTAATCCACTTTCCTGTGGTATTTTTTACCATCTGATTCACCTTTTAAAAATATTCTTTCCTCATTTTCTATTCACCTTCAGTATTTATTAATATCCTGTTTCATCTTCACATTCAAGAACATAGATCACACATTGAATTTTTCAGCATCCCAGTATTTATAATGCAAGTAGAACTTTCAATTTCAGAAGCTACTGTTACAGCACGTCATTGTGAATGTGCAGTGTGAAAAACATCGGATTTTTTTTTTATTCCAAGTTTCTGTAACAAACTTAACATCTGTGCAGAACTGCTTTTTCAAAATTAGCATTAGATTTGTGAAATTCAGTGAGACGTGCACGTAGGTTATACCATTGACAATTTCTTCATCTATATCTTTTGTCTTTGCAAATGTGAAACTAAGAGTGCTGGTGATGGTTGTTCCAGGTTGTGAATTTCAGTATTTCACTTGAAAAAGATTTATGAGAATCTTCAGTATGGATAATAGTGACAGCTCTGTGCCAAGATGTTACATCAAAGTGAGTGAGTACTAAAACAAAGAAAGCTATTACAACTGTTACCAGAGTATGTGTTCAGTTATTTGTTAAAAGGTTTTTGAAAATTTCAATGTTTCAACATTGTTAGTGTTATACAAACCAACAGCTTACTTGCAAGTGATTGTTTTGTCTGTCTGCTGCACAGTGCAGGTATTACAGATGCTCGTGTCTGGCTGCCTCACCAGTATTAGTCTTGTGAAAAACCATCAGTGCAGATCCTTGTGTGTAACTGCCTCACCAGCTTTGTGTTCTAAAAATCAACAGTGCATATGATACAGATCCTCGTGTCTGGCTTCATCACCACATTAGTTTTGTGAAAATCAACAGTGTATATAATATAGATCCTCGTGTCTGGCTGCATCACCACATTAATGTTTTGAAAATCAACAGTGTATATAATATAGATCCTCGTGTCTGGCTGCATCACCAAATTAATGTTATGAAAATCAACAGTGTAGGTCATACAAAACCTCTTGTCTAGCTTCATCATTACATTAGTGCTGTGAAAATCAACAGTGCATGTGATACAAATCCTTTTGTGTGGCTTCATCACTAGGTTAGTGTTATGAAAACCAACATTAAAGGTGATACAGATCCTCATCCATGTACTTCACCAGTGTTAGTCGTGTAAAAATCAACATTACGAGTGATACAGATCCTCATGTCTGACTGCTTCATCAGATTAGTGTTATGAAAATCAACAGTACCAGTGATATAAATCCTCATTTCAACAGAACAGGTGATACAGATCCTTATGTCAACAGTACAGGTGTTAGTGTTAATAAACCCAACAATGCAGGTGGTATTGATTGTGCTGTATCGGTATCTTGCCAGTGTTAGTGTTATGAAAACCATCAGTGCAAGTGATACAGATCTTACATACTGGATGTGTTGCCAGAGTTTATGAAAAATATCAGTGCAGGTTATATTGATTCTTGAGTCGAAATGTCCCACCACTGTTATTCTTGTGAAAACCAACAGTGTAGGTGATTGTTGTATTGATATTTATTTCCAGGTGTTTTGCCACCCTTCATGTTATGAAAGTTAACAGTGTAGGTGATGATAGTCATTTGTCCTCCAGATGATTCACCATTTGTATGGAAACCAACAGTGGAGATGATGATGATCTCTGTATCCAGATAGCTCACTGTTTTCAAAACTAACTATGTAGAATATTGTTATATTGATATTTATGCCCATGTCTTTTACCAGTAGCAGTGTTATGAAAGCAAACAGTAATGGTGATAGTTACAACACTCAGTGAATGTCAGACAGGGTTTGAGAGTGATTTGGCAAGGTTTGGTGACCTCTACAGAAGTAAGAAGAAGCATCTCAATTTTAAGGAGAAAAAAAAAGTAATTTTTGTGTCTTTGTTTAACTTAATCATTTAGAAAAGACTGGATTTGTAGAAATTGTGAATTTAGTTCTGCATTGAATGTTATGCGTGTGTGTGTGTGTATGTATGTATATATATGTGGGGGGTTGTGCAGTTTATTGAAAATGAATTATATTTGTTGTTGTGATGAAGAAAACTATTGAAGTAAGAAATAAAAAATTAAGAACTTAAAAATGATATAAATCTCGTGTAGAAAATAATTGGTTTGAAAGTACAGTTAAATATTAAAAGAATATTTTGTTGTTAGGGGAATTGTTTTTAGTTCTGTCACAACAATGTCAACAACTTGTTTTGATTTACGTATTAATCCAATGTTATTGGTAAACTGAACCTTGTAAAACAAAATAATATAATACAGTAGTGAAATGGTTTGTTATTAGCTGAGAGTTTGGTGGGAAAGAGAATTTGATAATGATCGAGATGTAGAAATTTGCACAGCACGCATGGTTGTTGGAGCTCCTTTTCAAATTTCCTACAAAGATTTATACTCCAAAGACTGAGTAATCTTTTAGAAGAGCAGCATACTTAGACTCATGTTGATTTTGTATATGAATTTCTTCTGAACACCAGAATACAATGGTGTAAGTAAAATAAAATATGCTAGACTTATCTGTATTAGATACCAAAATATATAAACTGTGGTCTGAAGTAGTTTGTGAAATTTAGTTTGAAGGTTGTTAAGTAAGATGGTTATATAGTATATATATAACATATATTTTTTTTATGAAACATGCATTGGGTGAAAGTTGTAAATGTTTGTGTAATTATTTATCATACATACAAGTACCTTGGAACTCCAGAATCAAGTATTAACCCACTTATCCTTTAATAAGTTTTTGATCCACACAAAAAAAAAATCCTGTTTTTATGATTAAATTGATTAAAAAAAAGCACCACTAGTTTTATTTAGGACATTCCCACTTCCACCCCAAAAAATTATATATGTTGTACAAAAACCCACTGAGCAGCTTCTTGTGACCAGCTCAGAGACAGAAATTGCCCTCTCTGTAACAATTTTTATTAATATAACTTCCAGTATGATCGAAAATGTCAGTTCATTTCTTTACCATGCATAAACTTTTGCATCAATCAGTAATGCATCTTTAAATATTTTTTTGGATATCATTTAATGACATTTTGTATTCATAAAAAAAAGTACAAAATAAATTCTCAGGTTTGAAGTAAGTATCCACTGTCGTTGCTCTGCCTATCATATTAAATTGAAGTTCAGAAACAGTTTCAGTATAAACTTGTAGTTTTCAAAAATTATACTTTTTTTGTATGTTTAGATATTCTATACTTGTAAGCCTGATAAGCATTGCAAGTTAACCAATTACAAAGGAAAACAAATAATATAATCCAAATATTTCATTATCCTTGATGCTGACTTTATAATATTTTTTCCTACTAAGACTGAATTTAAATAAAGAAATGGTATCAAAAATGTTTTTAAAGTCCAACCTCCTTTTACAGTTAAGTATTCTACTAACATGAATGGACCTCCAGTGGATTGGTTGCAAGAATGAGGGCGAATGCTAAAATCAGGTTTAGATGTACAGCACAGATAATCCATTGTGTAGCTTGGTGCTTAACAACAAACAAATTATATAAACTGTAATTGCTGTTTATTTAAGTTCTGAAAATAACCAAAGTCATCATTAAGTAATTTATTAATTTCTGACCAAGTAGAAACAGTATTAACTAACTTGTACAAATCTGTTACTAAGTTCTATGGGGAAAAAAAAAAAATGTTTTTGTCATGAATAAAATTATATTTTTAAGCTTTTGAGAAATGTAAAATTATTAAAGGTTTCTTATTAATTAAATTGGAAGACATTTTCAGTTTATGTTTTACATAAACAATCCAATCATGTAACTTTTTCATATTTCAATAACATAGATCTCGAAAAGTTATTTGTCATCTAACTTGCTTTTGAATGCTCTTTGTTTTTCTCAAATGGTATCTGCCCAAGTCATCAGGCCCAGTGTAGCTGTGATAGTTTGCTATCATATTGGACACTATCTGAAGTGTATTGGTAATTTAAGTGGATTCTTACTGTCCTCCTCAAAAACCTAATAAAAATTGTGGAAGGTTTAGTTTCTTGATGCAAAGGTATTTATTTGCTATGTATGAGACATTTTGTTATGAATATAGATATTTCTGTTTTTTTCTTCAACAGCAAATTGTGTGCTAATTTCATCACTTCTTTTATGGCTCAGATCTAGTGTATTATGTTATTTCATGGATAATTAAGTTGAAGAATGGTGCAACATAATTTTAAAATAGTTAATACTTTTTTCTATTGTATTTTCATTATGATAAATAAAAAAACCTAACTGGGGTTTTTGACCACTGAGGTCATGCTTGTAGCACTGGTTACAACTTACATATTGTTTTTACTGTATCTTGCTATATTCTGATTAAAAATTCATTGAAAATACTGATTACATTTTTGCAACTAAGACATTATGATTGTTGTATACACTTAAATGTTGTATTATTAATCATTCCAAAAGAAAATTGTCATGTTAACCTTCATGCATAACAGGCCAGGTTGAACTATAAAGTAACTTATGCTGTTAATTATATTTACATACTTTAGGTAAAGTTCTAGTTGTTTTTATCTGGAAATTATGTGATAATATTCTGGAATCTTGCAATGCATTACTGTAAACCATGCTGAAGTTTGTTTCACAGAAAAATTTGTTAGTATAATAACCAGTCTGCTAAAGCTTGTAAATAAAAGAATATGACTGCCCAAAATTTACTTTCAAAGCGTATTGTTTGTCATCAAAATACTATTCCTAACATGTCAGATATGTCCTTTATGCTTTTGCTAATCTTTCATTTCACACTAATCACATCATTTACAGTGACATTTAGAAATTATTATGGTTAGACGATTCCATTAAAAAATTATTGTTGGTAATAATGAAGACATAATTCTGTATAGCCTCCATACTGATACAAGTGTCATTATTTATAAGTTCTGAACTAAAGCAAATCATGCAAAATAAAGCTTAAAGTTTGACTTATTATTAATGGAAATCAAGACTTATGAATTTAGGTGTAAGATTTAAACTAAGCTACTTTTGTTTTTAATACGGATTAAATTAATTCATCACATCCTACGTTTTAGATAGACTAAACTTGGTAGAACATGTAAAAAGCATAAAGTGGATTTTCTTTTCAATTATATACTGACTCTAAATGTATAAGGAAATAACCTTGTTATAAGCAAGTAAAATTTTGTAAGAATATTATTTTCTGAACTTACAATATCATAAGGTTGGAAATATGCCTGATTATGTATTAGTTTACATATATGATTAAATATTTCTTATTGGGTTTAATTTCTAACTGGTAAGAATTTAGAACTGTGTTACTTATATACACACATGTATATGTGTATTTAAATTGCATGTATAATTTGCATCTTTTAATGAGTAAATTGCCTTAGTGAACTGTGTACGTATATTTTAATTGTGTGTTTTAATTAAATTTTTAACCTGCTAGAAATATGTTCAATATATTGTTAGAAGAAACAGCATACTAATAATAAGAAAAATATATCTTGACCTCCATCTTTTTTCTAATTTACTTATATATTTTGGTATCTTATGCCATGGATAAGCCTAGACTTATGCATATTTTATCTTGTTGGTTTTATAATTGTGCTGGTAAGCCTTATGTGTTCAGAAGCTATTCGTAATTTCACATGCTATATATATACATAGCAATATGTTGTTGTTTTTTAAAGTTAATATTTTGTTATGCATGTGATTAGAAGTGTTCTGCAACATGTGTCTTTACTTTTCTCTAGGATATTAACCCAGAAATATTTAAAATTTATTGATGAATGAAATGACACAAATTCAAGTTGGTCATACCCGATACAGGATCAGTAGTGTGCTACCTTACCTCGCTATCAAGTTAATGTCCTATTTTCTCTCACCAGTGAATTTAACTATCACTTACTTGCAGATAAATAAGTAATTGCTTACTGGTTACTAAAAGGAAAAGCACTGCAGTTTATACATGAAATGTCTTTAATTGTTTTTAACTTTAATTCTGTATTGTTGTTTTTTTAAAGAGCTGCAGTAATTTTAAAATTGTACTTAAACACTAAAAGCATTAAATTTAACGGGATTTTTCACCATATAATAATGTTCTTTATTCATATACAAGTTTTCAGAATCTTTCAAGAGCTTATTAGGCATAAAATTGGTTTAACTGATAAATCTTGAAAATTTGATTAATTAAGTAAAAAAAATCATATTACATGATGATGATAAAACCTGATCTCTGCATTTTGTTGAAAGTTTCAGTAATATCCTTAAAGTATTCAAAGAAGTGTATGAGAAAGTAAAGATTTTGTTTAAATAATCTCAAGATTAAGTGCGAATCATTTTAAAAGATAAAGTTTGTGAAAAGTTCAACTGTACCAAAATGCCTACATTTTTAAAATCACTTTTTTTTGAGCAGTGTTATTACTTATTTAAGTATTCTGTTATTGATATATAACATGTTGTTGTTCTCCAGAAATTAATAGTGGTATAAATAAAATGTCACCAAATGAATTATATGTTTTATGTGAACTTTTTTCCATCAATTGATAAAAAAGGTGGCAATATCCAAAATGAGCACTTTCATCATTTGACTTTTGAAAAAATATATTAAAGCTGCATGAAAGTAAATATTGTCATACACATTTTATTTAACAGATAATTTAAGAAATAACTTTTGATAAATTACCATAGTTTTTATTGTAGAGGCAACAACAGCATGGGTGAAAGTTCTGTATCTGTAGATGGAAATGCCTTTCCCTGGCATGATTTAAACAAATTAAAGACGTTTTGTTGTCAACACCATGCTAATCTTTATTGATCTAAATTTCCAACCATTTTTATTTGTACAAGGAAAAGGTCATAACTTGTTAATTCAATGATTTGCTTTTTCATTTGCAAATGATGCTCTAAAAAAATTAATTGAGCATACATGTAAAGAGTTGGAGTATTAATGTTTAAACAATTTAACTAACTTTGTGTGATTATCAGGTTGGCCCATCTGGTAATATAATGAGTTGTAAGTGATTTCTAAATTATCATTTTTTATACAAAGTCAAGTTAAAATTGGACTGTGAAAGTTGTACAAAATGGCTCAGGATGTATTTGAGAACAAGTACAACCCCAGAGTTTTTTGGGGTTGTTTAAGCTCTTGGCCAGTAGATCTGTTTCAATCAAAATGGTAATTCTACACTTTCATTCATGCAAGAGTATTGAAGCATTTACTGTCATCCTGAGCAATCGAAGTGTTCAAGAGATTAAGTTGAAGAGGAAACAATGTACAGTTGAGATCCTGTTGTGTGCTGAATAATTAGTTTACTTTTATGGAATCTAGTTATTGGGGCTTTTTGTATGCAAAAGATAATTATGTTAAACATTCTTTCTTTCATTCTTATCAATCTTTCATGAAGATTGTGACAGGGCTCTGTATGAAGAGTTACCTCCTTGTGATTTTAACTTGTTTTTCAAACCTTAAAAATGGAAGTTAAAGAAAGGAGACTATGAAGTTATCTCATCGGTGATATAGAAGTATACTGTTGATTTAAGTTAAATGCATTATCTATGGTCTCTGCTAATGATATTTCAAGTTAGTAAGCCTAAATTGGTTCAATATTCTTTACTTTTCAATACGTGAGAAAAACCATATACGAACCTGACATAATACAGTTGAACCTTCTAAGGTCAGATAAGTAACAGATGTTATTTGTGGGAAAGAAAAAAACGGTAGAAAATTGTAATATAAGTGAAAAATAAAATTTGAATTCCCAGTACTTTTATGAAGTTTGGAGTACACTGAATGATGAATAATTTTTGAAAGTTTTAC